GCCTTCCCTCTTAGGGCACAGACCAAAACCCTTCTGTTAACTCAAGTCATACTGTGAATGACTAAGTGCTTTCATAAAGAAAATCAAGCAAATGGTCTAGTGTCATCAGTGAATACTTTTAGGTTATTTAATACTTTTTAATACAGGTTATTTAATACTTTTTTTTAAAAAAGACCAGTACTAAAATCTGATCACTTCCCTGAGAAAGTGGGATATATTAATATATTTTAATTGCTTCAGTGATTCAAAGCTCATCAAGAATACTAATAAGAATAACTATGAACAGAAAGATAGTATGATAGGTAATTTAATAAAGTCCCTCTTTTTGCACAAAGACTTGAGTACTTGAAAAGATACTGGTGTCAACATGTATATCTTCATGAAGTGAGAGGAGCTGATATGATACAGCATTGCTATTTTCCTGCTTTTCATGGAGCAATGCATATGACATTCTATATCTGTGTATTTGTGAAGGCATAATCTCCTGCATTTTTGCAGGCAGCAAGGAATAATGAGTTGGATTCATACTTTGTCACTTTTAGACTCCCTGCTGAAATAAGTGAGGCCCCACCTGTACTGGCATTCTGATAGCATTCCCTTGATCTTTTGGCCTACGTGTTCTGTTTTAATTCTTGTGTTATTTTAACTGGCTTGTTTATCACATGTTTTATTTACAGATGTTTATAAATGTTTTAGTATTTTGTTTTATTTTTAAGTATGTTGTTCATATTTTAATGTTTACATATTTTTGCATTAAGTAGTATGTGCGTATGATAATGATAGTAATAATGACCCCACTGAACTCACTTCAGACTTAGTAAATTAGTAGGTTGTGTCTACTCTAAGCAGATAAAGTATGGAGCTTTAGTCTCACCAATGAAATCAATGGGACAAGTTAGTAACTACCTCGGTTTTCAAACGTAATCCATTCCGGAAGACCATTCTACCTCGGTTTTCAAACGTAATCCATTCCGGAAGACCATTCGACTTCCGAAACGTTAGAAAACCGATAAGCAAAGGGTGGCCTGCCAATTCAATAGAGAAAATTGTGGAAAACAACAGATACATGCAGTGGAAGCCGTTCAACGTCCAAGGCATGTTCGAAAATGGAAGCATTTACTTCCAGGTTTTTGGCACTTGAAAACCAAAACATTTGGCAATGGAGACGTCCAAAAACTGAGGTACCACTGTAATTTCAAAGGGAATAAGGATGTTGAGAGTTGTTGGGAGACCAACATTTTTCTCACAGAGCTACAATTCTCAGCACTGTTTCACTATCAATCCCTCTTCACAAGGAACTTTGAGTTGGGCTGAATGTATGGTATGAATGTGGCCACAATGAGAACCCAGCCAGTCTCTCCTCATCCTAAATTGACAGAAGGAACACCTAGAATCATAGAATCATAGAATCATAGAGCTGGAAGAGACCACAAGGGCCATCGAGTCCAACCCCCTGCCAAGCAGGAAACACCATCAGAGCACTCCTGACATATGGTTGTCAAGCCTCTGCTTAAAGACCTCCAAAGAAGGAGACTCCACCACACTCCTTGGCAGCAAATTCCACTGTCGAACAGCTCTTACCTAAAGGTAAAGGTAAAGGGACCCCTGACCATTAGGTCCAGTCGTGACCGACTCTGGGGTTGCGGCGCTCATCTCGCTCTATGGGCCGAGGGAGCCGGCGTTTGTCCGCAGACAGCTTCCGGGTCATGTGGCCAGCATGACTAAGCCGCTTCTGGCGAACCAGAGCAGCGCACGGAAACACCGTTTACCTTCCCGCCGGAGCGGTTCCTATTTATCTACTTGCACTTTGACGTGCTTTCGAACTGCTAGGTTGGCAGGAGCTGGGACCGAGCAACGGGAGCTCACCCCGTCACAGGGATTCAAACCGCCGACCTTCTGATCGGCAAGTACTAGGCTCTGTGGTTTAACCCACAGCGCCACCTGCATCCCTAGGAAGGAACACCTAGTTGCATGTAATGTGGAGCAGCCATAGTGCAAAGTGACAGATATACTGATGATTGAGGGGCTGGTAATGGCTCAGAGAGCCAATAGTGAGGAAGGCACCCTTCATAGAAATCAGTATTTCAGGAACCCAGAAACCATAACTGGAGCTTTGTCCTGTGAGGCTAGGAAGCTTGTAAAAGAAAAGGAGACTGGCCAAATGGGACCCAGGCTTTAATGAGAAGCTGAAATGGAATAATCTTGGGCAAAAGAGCAGCCAAACCTACTCTGGGCAAGGTCTGTTGGTCAGTTGAAATTCCCATTGTCCCCTGCCCATCCCTGCTTCATCTACATTAAGAATGTCATCCAAGCTTGAAGTACAGCCATTTTTAGATAGATGAAGTTTAACTTCATCTATCAACCTTGCTCTATGGTCTAAGCAGTGAAGCAAAGAACACTTTTTCAAATTAAACATTAAGCAGTTATTTATGGAGTCGGAACACAAGTGCTAATGTTGACATTTGGTCAGAACACAATGGCAAAGCCCTCTGCTGTTTCATGAAGAACATAATGACTAATGAGGTTTGTAACTACCACAATTAGTCTGGTTTTACATCTCATCCGGAAGACTAAGCTACACTGTGGCTCCCAAGCACATTTTCTAAAGGATGTGGTTAAGCGTTGCCTCAGATGTGAAAAATGAAGCCTAGTGACCACCTTGTTTTGAGTTGTAGGCATCAGTTGGCCCATAACCTGAGACTTGGGCCCATCCTCTGTTGTTGGTACTACTCTACATTTCAGTCAGTGTGATCAGAAAAGCATGCACAGCTCCAGCGGTGTCTTCAGCAGAACACCAGAGTTTTCCTGCTTTCCAATAGTCAGCTTTCTCCAGAGTTCCTGGTTAAAAAAAACTCCTTACCCATTCAGTTCAGTTTAGAATCTAAAGTGTTTATTGTCACGTGACACAAGACAAGCACAGACACAGTAGCTACATAAACTTTAAGAGATGCCGGTACACCATGATCTACTCTACTATAATACAGTTATTCTGGTCTTAGAAGTAAACCTTGTGAAAATACAAGCAGACGGAGAGATTCACTAGCAGTTTAGCATACTAGCTCACCATGCTAAACTGAACCATATAACATTGAACCTTCAGCTTTTCCACGTCAATTCAATCCAAATGCCTTCCAAATAAGTTGGAAGTCTGGACAGCATTTTGTATCCTCTACAATATACTCCACCTAGCATTGGGGGCTAAAAATGCCACACACACTATGTCATTCATCTATCAGCAAAATACTGAGCATTCTCCTTCTTCAGTATCTATTTTTCTTCAGTATTTTAAAAAGCACAAATTCCTGCGTGAGGGAGCGTCTCAGTATGCACACTTGAAAACAAACCAGCTCATTTACGGACAATTCCTGGGCCTGGATCAGCCAAGAGTCTCCTAAATTTAACAGGAATGTCTCATGGGAAGTACTCAGCAGAGATCTTAAATCAATTTTGTCAAGTTACCTAATTTGTCAAGAGGAAAAAAGACAGTTCTCCAGAGATAAGTGATTGAAATACATCAGAACAGCAGAATCAGGTGCATCTTGGGAAATATACTTTGTGGGCTTTGATTTGAGCTGTCACTGAAAACATGATTCTGCAATTCTTTTTTTGGCAAATGGGGAACTTGTAAAAGCTTTGCTTAGACTAACAAGGCTGCATTTCTTTCTTTTTCTTTTTTGTTCTCAGACACAAGCCAAAGATCACAAATCAAGTGAAAAAAAGAGAAATTAAATAATCAAAACTGGGGACTGGGTTCAAATATTAGAAGCTGCATTTGCCTTGGTAATGCTTTTTGAATAAAGCATTTAAGTAACACCTTTAGCAACTGAAACTAAATTCTATTTGTGTCTGTCTGTTTAGCTATCTAATAGTGGACTTGAACCAATAGACCCAATTTAGTCATGTGAAGACAACATGATAAAGCTCCAGTATTTGCCCATCTTGAGCTTCCTGCAGCAAATGAGAGAGGTAGGTAGATATAAAAAATTAGATTTCCAAGTGATGAATATCCTTTGCTGTCTCCTATGCTGAGATAATTAAAGCTTTACTATGCCCTTTTTATTTGAGTTCATAGCAAGCCATATTACCAGCTCATTGTCTCATTGTACATAACAACCCATAACATAGCAGAAAGTAAAATATTGAATACAGATGGGCACAGCAATCCTAGCTGGAGAATAGCAGTGCAGCAGTGCTCCTGTCATATCTGAATCCCCCTACTGGCTCCAGCTGCTAGGAGACAGCTTTCTTGTTTACCATTTTCCTCTGCCAATAATTAATAATAATAATAATAATAATAATAATAATAATAATATTACTTGTAATAATTGTCCCAGCCAATCTAGGCGGCTTCCAGCATAACAAATGCACAGCAAACTGTCAAACAGTAAAAACCTCCCGATACAGGGCGGCCTTCAGATGTCTTCCGAAAGTTGTATAGTTGTTTATCTGTTTGTTTCTCTGGTTTCTCCTCAGATCGTATAAATCTTTCACCTTTTTTTTTTATCTGTTTGACATCTGATGGGAGTGTGTTCCACAGGGCAGGTGCCACAACCAAGAAGGTCCTCTGCCTAGTTTCCTGTAACTTCACTTCTCACAGTGAGGGAACTGTCAAAAGGCCCTCGGAAATTCTGTGGCTTTACTCTGGTTACTACCAGTGGGAGACCTGCCAATGGTAACTTCCTGCCCAGATGGGTAGCGGTTGAGCTACAGTAAGGTTACCAGATTTTTTTTCAATGCATCTGGGGACAGTTTTCAACTTCAATGGATTTTGTATGGGGACTGATGTGTAAATCCGGGGACTCTCCCCAGGCAACAGGGACATCTGGTAACCTTAGGCTATACTGAAGACCCCCACCCTTTCCACCCATCACAGCACACCAGCAGTGCTTTTCTCTGCCAACAGACAGGGGACTAGATTCAGGTAGGTAGCCGTGTTGGTCTGTCACAGTAGAAATATATATTTAAAAAAATTTAAAAATTGTCCAGTAGCACCTTCGAGACCAACTAAGTTTGTTCTTGGTATGAGCTTTCGTGTGCATGCACACTTCTTCAGAAGAAGTGCATGCACACGAAAGCTCATACCAAGAACAAACTTAGTTGGTCTCGAAGGTGCTACTAGACAGGGGATTGAGCAGCATACCAACCCACGCCCAGCCATCAAGGGGGCTAGAATTCTAGCCTAAGTAAGTTGTGTTTTAGTCCTGCAGAAATAATTTAACTTAGTCATTGTTTATTTCAAGGGACAAAACTATGACTCAAATCTAGCCCAGTAAATTTAATTTCCTCCTTCCAGTTAAACACCTGGTACTTGTTGAGGGATAAGGCCCAGGCTGCCTTAAGCCTGTAAGGGCAGAAAGTCCCAGGAGTTTCATACATGCCTTCAAAGTTACATTGGAATATGTAAGATAGGCTGCTCTCAGTCTCTAGCTGTCTTAGTGGCTGGAGAAGGGAAGGACGAGCTGTATGCAAATAGCCTTCATACTTGCATAACCTCTAATGTTATGGATGTTCCCTGTGTGAATCAGATAAATGAGGCTACACCGCTTTGGATATCCTTGAGAAAATAAAGCAAATCGCTGTTTTAAAATTAAGTCACAAAAATGATTAATGGGTGCAAGCTCTGTGACAGCAATGGGTGGGTGAGGGAGCTTAGACTAGTGGAAGGAGTGATCTGAGGGGCCTCAATGTCACCCTCCATTGATTTGAGTGATGCAGCATGTCAAGGATAAAGAACGTCATGTGGGAACAGCAAGGAAGCAACAATGCATGGTATTTTACGGCATCACTTCCATTGTCAGTTACAATAAAACCTGGGGACAGACCTTGGGAGGTAAGCCATACATTGATTTGTTCTTGAAGCTTTGATGGTGTGTTGGTTGCTGTGTAATCTTTCTTAAACCCTTCAATAAAAAAGTACAGATTGTTTTCAGAAGACCCTGCCGGTGGCTTTGACATATGCATGATTGATTGTTCACACAGCCCATGTCTCCATTGTTTGTTATACAAATATTTTCAACCTTCTTTTAAACATGGGAGCAACCCAGCATGAAGCTCCAGACAGCCAGGATTTCTGTTACTAAATCCCAGCTCTAGAAAGCATCTCAGCTGAAGGACAATTTGCCTGGCTTGACACCTTAGATGCAAAAAGTGCTACTAGGAATAATGGCATGGATTTAGTTTGCTGTACTTCCAAGTATAAGGCAGGCAAAACTGCTGCCTTAGGAGTACCACAAAGCTTAAGCAAATACTCATTTGAATCAGGCAAATTTGTTTTGATGAAATTCTCATCTCTTGCATCTTTCTTTATCTCACTGGATGTATTCAACATACCTTGTCTTAGTCAAGCAAACATACTTTTTATCTAATTTAATGTATTAAATTTTTGCATCGGTAGAAACCTTTATTTGAACTATCTGCCAGCTATAATATGAAGAAAAGTATTATAACAAATGTATTGGCTGTATTTTTACATCCATAATCACACCCCATTGTGATAAAATACTAAAAATTAAAGGGGAAAGGAAGATGTTTTAATTCATTTATTTAACAACATTTATAAACCACTTGATTGTAAACAAAACCTTGAAGCAGTTTCCAGAAAATAAAATAAAACAATCGTCAACATTATCAATTAGAAATATAAAAATATTTTTGGATATGGGAAAAGCTAAAGGGACCCCTGACCATTAGGTCCAGTTGTGGACGACTCTGGGGTTGCGGCGCTCATCTCGCTTTATTGGCCAAGGGAGCCGGCGTACAGCTTCCGGGTCACGTGGCCAGCATGACTAAGCCGCTTCTGGCAAACCAGACTAGCACACGGAAACGCTGTTTACCTTCCCGCTGGAGCGGTACCTATTTATTACTTGCACTTCATGCTTTCGAACTGCCAGGTTGGCAGCAGCAGGGACCGAGCAACGGGAGCTCACCCCGTGGCAGGGATTCGAACAGCCAACCTTCTGATTGGCAAGCCCTAGGCTCTGTGGTTTAACCCACAGCGCCACCCGTGTCCCTCTTTTGGATATGGTATGAATGCTAAATATAGGAGTGAAAGGTATGAATGTTATATGTAAAGCAGGACACCATGACTGAAGGAAAGAAAGGGGGCAGGATATATTGATCACTGATGTCAACAGTCCTGAATATCTAATTGGGACTACTGTATAATCAAATGAAATGGCACACACAGCTCTGTAGCTGTAGGAAGTGGGAAGATCCTCTGGTGCCAGTCTTTTGTGCCTGCACAGGACAGTCCAACAAGAGATATACATATGGATGCCTGATCCATGTACACATCATTCTGACCTGGAACATGGCACGAGATTCCATAAACCATCTAAATCTTTTTTCCCTTTCTTTGTCACAAATTCATTGGGGGTGCGGACCGAAAGGTATGGTCCGGAAGATGGAAGCAGGGTTGGAAGTCACAAAATCACAACATCACAAAAACTCTTGTGATTTAGCTGTGATTCCTGCATAGATAGGCTAATTAGCAAAGGGCTAATTTGGGCAGGGCAAAGGGCCATGGAGGCTTTCATGTGGGCAGATAAACCTCTCTGAAGCTGGATCAACCTTTCTGAGGTCAGATCTCTCTCTTCTTCAGCAAGTGAGATCAGATGCTTCCTACAGCCCCTGGGGCAGCCTTCCAGAGCCATAAGATTGCAGGGTTAGTTAGTTATTCTATTTGTATACTCCCCATACAGCTTAGTTTTCTGGGCAGTCTACAGAAACATTATATATATATAATACACAAATGTTGTTCAAAATCTCGCATGGTAAAAGCATTAAAACAGCCATAAAAATCACAGCAGCAACAAACTAACGTAAGCATCTAAAGCAATAGCAGCTAAAACAATTTAAACGCAACATAAAACCAAAAAAGAATGAGAAAGGATTCCAGCTAAACTCTAACACACCATTTAGATGTACCCACTATGGTTCAGGGAACAATAACAAAATTATTTACCTGGCACTTAAAGGCCATCCAATAGGCACCAAGTGAACCTTTTGGGGAGGGCATTCCACAAATGGGGTGCCACCACCAAAAGGCCCTCCCCATAGAAACCATGCATCTCACTTCATTAGGTGGGGGGACCTAGGGAAGAGTCCTCAATTAAGATTTCAAGGACTGGGCAGGTGGTTGTAGAAGAAAGGAAGGATACTCTGGCCACATACTCTGCCCAAGAAAAACAAATGGAAGGGTATCCTCCCCCCCTGTTCTCAATGCAAAATATTACATAGTTCTGTAAGCACTTGGGATGAGCAAGTTGTCTATCAATCAAATAAATAAATAAATGCGCTACATACATCAAAGAAAACATGCACAACCACCCAACACAATGGGGGGAAATGAAACATAATTAATGGTTTGATTAGGAATGACTAAAATCACGAATCATTAATAATTGAGTGATTAAGGATGATTAGTCATTCTTGATCAAATAGACATTCATCATTTTAAATAACTTGGTTGATTTCATCCTGTATGTCTTTTTAATGTGAAAAATAACTTCAAAGTCCCAGACTAAATATGCAAGCAGTAAGTATTATTTACTCAGCCACCCTTTCCAGAAGCAGAGTGCAACGAAGATGTTAATGAAGAAGCATTGTGGAAAAAAGCACAGGCCTTCAGAAAAAGATGTGGGCTTTCGCCTAAATAATGTATAATCTAATTTAGAAAGATAACATGAATAGAGGAACATTTCAAGATTACAAGATGTTCTATGGGGAAACGTCCCATCTTTCTATGTCACCATGATCTTTTTAAAAAAGCATTTCAGATGTCCATCAAGTTATAGAACAGGGTGGCGGGTTTTGTTTGTTTGCTTGCTTGCTTGCTTGCATTTTAATCAGGATATTTTATTACACAAATGTAAGACATTGACAGAACAATTACAGGCGAAAGTCCTTGAAAAAAGATGAGATTTTAATGAAAATTCAGGGAGGAAAAGAGGGGGCAGTTTGTAGAAGACAAGTAGGACATTTTCAGCAATGTTGTGTTGATTCCCCCTTCCACCAAACAATGATTTTTTTTTGGTCCATTCTCCATTACATAATAAGAAATGAAAATGTGGTGAACATTGTCAAAGGGGTGAGGAAATTTTGACAAATTCTCATGGGTGGGATTTTAGTGAGGAAGTTGCCTTTGACCAGTGGCGGAGCTTCATGCTCCAGCACCAGGGGGCGGAGAGCAGGCGGGGGCAAGGCTGGCGCACGTCCTGGGGGTGGGGCACACATCCCAGGGACAGGGCGGGGCATGCCGCCCGCAGGGGCATGTTGCAGGGGCAGCCGCGATGGCACCCCACCAGGATCGCGCTGCCGGGGGCGGTGTGCTCCCCCCCCCCACTCCTCTTCCTCCACCAGTGCCTTTGACTCATCTAGTTCAGTATTGCCTTCACTAATTGGCAACAGCTCTTTGGGATTTTAGACAGGGTTATTTCCCAGTCCAGGGCATCAATCCTGGAGATGCCTTGGATTGAGCCTGGTATTTCCTGATGTCTCAAAATGGAGTGTTCTGAAGGTAGGACAGGGCTGGCAGATGCTGAGCCGCTTTCACAGTGAGCTCCAGCTGGTGTCAGGCTCCATCCCTGGGCCCAGTCTGCCTGCCCCCCACCTCCATGGCTACTGTCATGAGTGGCTTGAATGTGGATGTGCTGTTGGCTCTACCACTCTTCAAAGCCTCAGTAATACCATATTTGTTAGCAATTTCACTCCTCCGATGCTGCAGATGAGATTGTTGTAAATCACATGCCTGTCTGGGACGAATCTGGGAAATGAAGACCGTCTTATCTCTTCCGCTGTGGGTACTGTTACACTTTACTTTCACTTTTATTTCTTTCTGTTTGTTCTCTTGGAGCTGGAGAGAACAGACACCATTATGCTTTTGTCTGTACATAGTGTCTAAATAAATAGTAGATTAGCTCTATCATGTCTCACTCTTCTTGCTGTGTTATACCAGAAGATTAGTGTGCATATACCAGCTGGTATATGTTGCTAGGAAGTGCACTGGAACAGAAGGGAGATGCCTTTTCCAGAGCTGCACTTACCAGAGGATGCTCAGAGTTTTGGGGGCTTGCAGGCACCCCCAGGGCATTTTTCCAAC